AATTAATGCATATTCATATTTATTTTAGAACTACAGGAACATCTTCTGATTTCTCTCAACATGGGGACAGGAGAGCTGTCAGTCAATAAATTGAAAAAAAAAGTATTTGAAAAAGTAACTCAGATATTCTCTTGTAAATTAAAAAGTAATGCGTTACTTTACTAGTTACTTGAAAAAAGTAATCTGATTACTTAACTCGCATTACTTGTAATATATTACCCCCAACACTGGTTATGATATTCAAAACAGTCCTGAGCTAGATCAAGCTTTGATCTCTGCAAACCGAACTATAACTTTAATTAAATATTTTTTCCCCAACTAATAAAAAGATTTGATCATTAGCTAGCTCCACACTGAAGAGCTGCTTTATAACAGAAAATCAAGTTGTAATTCTAACTGAAAGCGACACTGACTCTGGTTTTTCATGTGTAATACTGTAAAGCTGTTTGATTTAAGGCTGTCTACTGCATTAAATACTATATAAATAAACGCAACGTGACTGGACTATACTGGAGTACTGAACCGCAGAGCTCGTGCAAACATTGCTGTAATCAGATGCGTTTTAAACTGCTGTCAGTTTTTGATGCGTTTATTTTATTATTGAGAGGAAAGCGTGCAGTATATATTTACATATTCACCCAAACGCCGCTCAGCAGCCTCAGGTTCGGCTGCGTTTGCTCTGTCTGAAGCGCTGTGTTCTTTTGAATTGCATCAGGAGAGCTGAATTACAGTCACAGGGTCATATGAGATCAAACGACTACTCGACAACTAAAATATTTGTCGATAATTTTTTTATCGTCGACGTTGTCGATAATGTCGACTAATCGTTTCAGCCCTAAATTATGCTCACATTGCTAGTCATGTATTATATTGTTTTTATTTTAGATTAATTTATTATTCATATTATTGAGAATCAATAATAATAATAATAATAATTTAGCTTGTAAAGAAAACAATAAATATGAAACCACAGTTTATGTTTGTTTGCTAAATGGCTTCAAAAGATTTCAGATAACAATAAACAGATTTCAATAAGCAAAATCAAAATATTTTTTGAGGTAGGGACATTTATCACATGATTAATGCATAACTATAATGTTAACACTGCTGAATTTCACATGAGGTATATATATTTTAAAAGTGGTTTTCTACCTGCTTTTGTGCAGCGATCCGCTTCTGATCTCTCTTCCTCCAGGCTGGATCATGGATGTGTCGAAATGTTTTAGTTCCTGTAGTAATACCCGTTGGCCTAAAAAGCTGCAGGTATTTGAATGGTAACAACAAAATGATTTATCAAATGAGAAATATAGTATAAGATAATTTTTCAAACATTTCTGTGTACCTTAAGATCAGCTGCTTTTAGTCTCCTGAAAAACTCGTCATCTTCTCTTCCCCATCCCCAGAAGCGGTTTGACATCCCATTGCACTTCAGACAGAAATTACAAGAGAATGTAATTCGCAAACAAATTCTCTTCAGAAACAGTGATCAATACTCAAAAGTATTCGGCTTTCTTACCAGCTGATAATGTTTCTTGGAAAGCAGCAGGATTCCTCCAACATACGTCTTATAATGATATAAGGGATGAAGCTCTGGAGAGGCCACATGGAAGGGTCCCTCCTTTGGGAATCCATAGTCCAGATCCTCATTTTGAGGCAACAAGTCCACATCATGCATTGCAATGTAGTCTGTGTCATTACCGCTTTCCATATACCCAACATTAATAAGAGAGGCCCGATTGAACCTGAAAAGCATGGATACAAATTGTGATATTGCTTTCGGTAAAAATAACAAGTATTATATTACACATTGTATGAAATTCAAGGGATAGTTCACCGGAAAATGAAAATTGGCTGTTAATTTACTCATTCGTGTTAATTTTCAGTGACTCATAAAATGCAAGTCAGCGGCTACCCATATTTGAGTACCCAAAATTAATACCTGTGGCTCCTGACGATATACTGAGGTCTTATGAAGTGAAACGATCAGTCTGTGCAAGAAACTGAACATTATTTACAACATTATAACCTGTAATCCAAAGCCTCAGGCAACAGGGAAATCTGATTCTTTTCCCTGAAATGATTCTTTCGGACAGTTCGCTTCAGTGAACTGGTTCAATTCACTAGTTAGTTTACATAATCACACAATGACGTAACGTATACGCAATTATATTATTAAAGCAGCCTATAATGATGTGAAATGTGGATGTGAATGGAACTTAAGCATGTAAAGTGAACATCTTCATAAGCTCACCTGTTTATATATATATATATATATATATATATACAGTGGGGCAAAAAAGTATTTAGTCAGCCACCAATTGTGCCACCAATAGTTCTCCCACTTAAACACTTAAAAGAGGCCTGTAATTTTCATCATAGGTATACCTCAACTATGAGAGACAAAATGAGAAAAAAAAATCCAGAAAATCACAACACAGACAACGAGAGACCATAAAAACTTTCATTTGGCCTCTTCATTCAGGTGCTGTGTTCACGCTTGCGCATTTCACTGGTTCATCGGTCCGAGTCAGAACTGTTTCCTCAGTTTAGTGTGACTGCAGGGCGAACAGGAGCGCAAAAATCTGAATCACAGGATCATACACTATATGAATTTTGGCTCATTTCGAGTCAAAGTGACTGTCAAGTATGACCAAAGGTGAGTTTTGATTGAGTAACTTGTAGATCTGTGCTGCTCGAGCCACAAACTGTTTCAGACAGTTTAGTCTGATTTGGAGAGCTGGTTCATCTAGTTCACCAAAAAGAATCGGTTCAAAAGAATGACTCGTTTGCGAACCAGACACACTGTTTGCCTGAGGCTCTAGAATACAGGTAATAATGTTGTAAATAATGTTCAGTTTCTTGCACAGACCGATCATTTCAATCAATATATAATCAGGAGCCAGAGGTATTAATTTTGAGTTCCATGATATGCTTCCTTTTATTCTCAAAACCGGGCAGCCGCTGAATTGCATTTTATGAATCACCAAGCACCACGGTTTCAGCTAAAAATCTTCTTTGCTGTTCTTCTGAAGAAAATAGTCACCTACATCTTGGATGGCCTGAGGGTGAGTAAATTAACAGCAAATTTTCATTTTTGGGTGAACAATCCCTACTTTTCAATACTCCAGCAATGAAAGTTACTCACCGAAAGTGATCCAGTTGGTTTATAATTAATATCTTATGCCGTATTTTCTTTTTGTTGAGGAAAGTGTGAATGTAAGGGACAAATATAAGCAGTTCTTCGAAGCGCTCTCTGAATGGCACGATGAGGGCCATTTTGTGAGGGCCCCAGGATGGGTCATCAGCAGATGAGGACTGTCTCTCGACGGGACAGGGCTGGTGAGGGAGGTGACTGTACCCAACTGTCTGGCTCATGTCTCCTGAACAAGTCAGCTGCACCCAAAGAAGGGACCCCAAGACAAACAGCATGCAGAGCCCGAAGAGCTTCCAGACAGTGCATTTCCTCGACAGAAAACTGAAAGCATAAATACATTTGTGTAAACTTGACAGAGCTTCTTTCAAGCACTGAATAAATGGACAACAACAGTCCCTACAGACAAAAATCCAGTGGTCAACTCTTATTGATATGTGGATAAGTGATATGTCACTTTAAAGGCCCCATTAAATTGCCAGACGTGCGCAACTGACATATTTCCCTTTAAAACAGGAATTAATGCCAGGACAAACCCGACACAAGTCAGAACTGATGTGGGGTCACATTTACCATTGTTCCACAAATGTTTGTGGGAGAAATCCAGTCATTTCAATACGAATCCAAGTAACTGGGAATTTTGTGTGAGGCTGAAATATTTCCCTATGCAGATTTCACAACGGTTTGATTATGGAAATTTGCCACATTGACCAATAGAAAGTTACTTGTTTTTGTGTAAGCTGTGCTTCATACCTTGCCCCATGAAATTCCGCCCAAATTTCACTAATGTGACTGTACCTTTAAGCAGTACTAGTGGGAGGGACATTCATATTCTAGAGAGCATCTGAATGGACAAAATGAATGAGTGCAAGATGAGTCATCAATCATTTGGGTTAGTTTTCTCAGAAGAGAAATACTGTCAATTTGAAATGTGTGTGTCTGCTAAAAGACAAGGCCTAAATAAATCTCTAGTTATGATTTCTCAGGGTCTTTGAAGTACATTATGAGAAAGGTTACAATAAGATTTGTTGAGTTTAAGCTTTTAGTGAGCCAGTCAATCAAAATTAATTAGTATAAGCAACTTACAATATACAACAGCAAGCATTAGCCACATTGGTTTACAAACTGGTCCTCAAGCATTGTATATTGCATATATTGTACATAAGTATATTGTATACAAGCATTGTCCTCAAGACCTCATGCATTGTATACAACTGGTATTGCTCAATCAGACTTAACCCTATAAAGTCTACGGTATCATATTTGATACATATTCTAAGACCTCTACAGTACCAACATGATAAAAACTTTCCTTAAAAACCTGTTGTACACAATGTACTACAATCTTTCTGTCAACCGATTGATTGTTTATAATTTTTTTTGCAAGTAAAAGGCCTTTGAGTGTAATTGTAAAAATGTCCCCCTTCAAGTCATGGTGCACATGTCTTTTTGCTTTGAAATCTTTACTGATTTTTTTTATGAGGTAAACGTAAGAATAACATATATGCCTATTGTTAGTAATATTTCAAGATGAACAGAAATTTCTGATTTCTACTGGACTGATGCAACTCAGGTTTACTTGATCATCCATGCCACTTTTTTTTTTTTATAAAATAAAAATAAATACTATAGAGCTTTGATAGAAAAAACAAAGCATTTAAATATCATCTTACTGAGACATACTAGGAGATACAGAGGGACAACTGATATTTATATGAATTTTATGCAAAGTGTCTGATTTACTGTTATAATGATCGAAATGATTTACATTACAAGCCATCAGAATTTCATCCTACTTTTTGGCCATATAAATAACAACTGCACAAAACTGCATATTTTTGCTAATTTTGGGTTTCTGAATAACACTTCTGTGTTTTTTTGCACCTCATGTTTGAGCTCCACATTCACATTAAATCATACTATGTGAGCCATAAAAGCCTGTAATGCATCAAAAATATACAAACATTTAAGATTGTCTCTTATATTTTGTCTAAAGGTTCAACAAACAGGTCAACCGCACGTAACGTCACAATTAACCTGTTAACCGTCGGCTCCACTTTTTGAGCACAGACCTGAAAATTACATTTCCAACTTAAATTGTTATACATTTTCAATGCTTTGGAGCACAGACTTAAGGTTGATCTCTTTTTAAAGAAGACACTTGGCAGATTATATTAGAATGTGAAAAATGTTATATAAAAAAAACTTATGGAAGTTTAAGTTTATGAAAATATAAAATATTCATGTTTTATATAAAATATATATTTTACAAGACATGTTGAACTCTAAAACTGCGAGAAAATCAAAACCAAAAAATCTGAACAAGTTGTGTTCCAAATTTGAGGTTCATATATCAAAAAATGAGCTTTCAGTAAGATTTTGTTTGGGCGCAGTACCAAACCTTTCCACTAGACGACCATCAAACCCCATTAGTAACCATACAAGGGCATCCCCATTTCCATATATGGTCTGAGTGATCGGAAACATGTTTTTTTTCATACTTTTCACAACATTTATGAAGTAGACATCACATTCCATAACCATACTGTGTTATGGGCAAGTATGGCATTATTTGATTTGAATTCAACCACTAACAAACACATAAAAACATGCGACGAGAACCCTGGATGTGCGTTATAGTTCAAGCTGCATCAAAAATGTAAAATCTATTGTTTTTTTATTTATATTCAAAACACTTTTAGACGTTTTTTCTCAAAAAAATATAATGGATGTTATCTTTTTAACACTCGACACGAAAATGAATGGAGGTTTTTACTGATTTTTCATGATTTTACATGTGCATCATTATTTCAAAATAAAGGTCAGAACTCGCTCTCTGATTCTAATTAATAAATTGCTGTTGCTCTGTAAAATATATTGAAAATATGTCACCAAATATGAGTCTTTAAGCTTTCAAACGATATATAGTTTGTCAAGATTACTTTAGGTTTAGACTAAGATATTACAGTTACAAACATGTAATAACAATGGATTATTACATGTCAGTGACAGTTAACAGGTTAAAAAAATTTAAAATTTTACATTTAATAAAAATAAATTTACATTTAAAAAAAAAAAGATTATTTCTTATGTCAGGCTTTTCAGGGTTAAAACTCTTCAGTGACAGTTAACAGGTTAAAAAATAAAAATAAATAAAAGATTATTTCTTATGTCAGGCTTTTCAGGGTTAAAACTCTTCAGTGACAGTTAACAGGTTAAAAAAATTAAAAAAATAAAAAGATTATTTCTTATGTCAGGCTTTTCAGGGTTAAAACTCTTCAGTGACAGTTAACAGGTTAAAAAAATAAAAAAAATAAAAAGATGATTTCTTATGTCAGGCTTTTCAGGGTTAAAACTCTTCAGTGACAGTTAACAGGTTAAAAAAATAAAAAAAATAAAAAGATGATTTCTTATGTCAGGCTTTTCAGGGTTAAAACTCTTCAGTGACAGTTAACAGGTTAAAAAAATTAAAAAAATAAAAAGATGATTTCTTATGTCAGGCTTTTCAGGGTTAAAACTTTTCAGTGACAGTTAACAGGTTAAAAAAATTAAAAAAATAAAAAGATTATTTCTTATGTCAGGCTTTTCAGGGTTAAAACTCTTCAGTGACAGTTAACAGGTTAAAAAAATTAAAAAAATAAAAAGATTATTTCTTATGTCAGGCTTTTCAGGGTTAAAACTCTTCAGTGACAGTTAACAGGTTAAAAAAATTAAAAAAATAAAAAGATTATTTCTTATGTCAGGCTTTTCAGGGTTAAAACTCTTCAGTGACAGTTAACAGGTTAAAAAATAAAAATAAATAAAAGATTATTTCTTATGTCAGGCTTTTCAGGGTTAAAACTCTTCAGTGACAGTTAACAGGTTAAAAAATAAAAATAAATAAAAGATTATTTCTTATGTCAGGCTTTTCAGGGTTAAAACTCTTCAGTGACAGTTAACAGGTTAAAAAATAAAAATAAATAAAAGATTATTTCTTATGTCAGGCTTTTCAGGGTTAAAACTCTTCAGTGACAGTTAACAGGTTTAAAAAATAAATAAATAAAAGATTATTTCTTATGTCAGGCTTTTCAGGGTTAAAACTCTTCAGTGACAGTTAACAGGTTTAAAAAATAAATAAATAAAAGATTATTTCTTATGTCAGGCTTTTCAGGGTTAAAACTCTTCAGTGACAGTTAACAGGTTTAAAAAATAAATAAATAAAAGATTATTTCTTATGTCAGGCTTTTCAGGGTTAAAACTCTTCAGTGACAGTTAACAGGTTAAAAAAATTAAAAAAATAAAAAGATTATTTCTTATGTCAGGCTTTTCAGGGTTAAAACTCTTCAGTGACAGTTAACAGGTTAAAAAAATAAAAATAAATAAAAGATGATTTCTTATGTCAGGCTTTTCAGGGTTAAAACTTTTCAGTGACAGTTAACAGGTTAAAAAAATTAAAAAAATAAAAAGATTATTTCTTATGTCAGGCTTTTCAGGGTTAAAACTCTTCAGTGACAGTTAACAGGTTAAAAAAATTAAAAAAATAAAAAGATTATTTCTTATGTCAGGCTTTTCAGGGTTAAAACTCTTCAGTGACAGTTAACAGGTTAAAAAAATTAAAAAAATAAAAAGATTATTTCTTATGTCAGGCTTTTCAGGGTTAAAACTCTTCAGTGACAGTTAACAGGTTAAAAAAATTTAAAATTTTACATTTAATAAAAATAAATTTACATTTAAAAAAAAAAAGATTATTTCTTATGTCAGGCTTTTCAGGGTTAAAACTCTTCAGTGACAGTTAACAGGTTAAAAAATAAAAATAAATAAAAGATTATTTCTTATGTCAGGCTTTTCAGGGTTAAAACTCTTCAGTGACAGTTAACAGGTTAAAAAATAAAAATAAATAAAAGATTATTTCTTATGTCAGGCTTTTCAGGGTTAAAACTCTTCAGTGACAGTTAACAGGTTTAAAAAATAAATAAATAAAAGATTATTTCTTATGTCAGGCTTTTCAGGGTTAAAACTCTTCAGTGACAGTTAACAGGTTTAAAAAATAAATAAATAAAAGATTATTTCTTATGTCAGGCTTTTCAGGGTTAAAACTCTTCAGTGACAGTTAACAGGTTTAAAAAATAAATAAATAAAAGATTATTTCTTATGTCAGGCTTTTCAGGGTTAAAACTCTTCAGTGACAGTTAACAGGTTAAAAAAATAAAAAAAATAAAAAGATGATTTCTTATGTCAGGCTTTTCAGGGTTAAAACTCTTCAGTGACAGTTAACAGGTTAAAAAAATTAAAAAAATAAAAAGATGATTTCTTATGTCAGGCTTTTCAGGGTTAAAACTCTTCAGTGACAGTTAACAGGTTAAAAAAATAAAAATAAATAAAAGATGATTTCTTATGTCAGGCTTTTCAGGGTTAAAACTCTTCAGTGACAGTTAACAGGTTAAAAAAATTAAAAAAATAAAAAGATTATTTCTTATGTCAGGCTTTTCAGGGTTAAAACTCTTCACACTTCTCATCACATGCCATCATATACTCACTGAACCGCTTTTCCTCGTTCACACAGAAGCTTTTACAAACCACCACTTGCAAATGATCACAATAATTCAGCTTGAGATAAAACACATCAGAGTGGCCACGTGTTCATATGCATGTTATGATTAAAGCGTATAGGCTACCTTCTATCATCTTTGAAATACAGCACAGGTTTTCTCCGTGAAGAGTACATCATCTTGCCTTTCTGTGCAACACTGTAGCACTTCACTGATGCAGCCTTGAGTTCAAATCACATTTCTAGTTTGCAACAGTGTCTTTTGTCTCTTTCCATCACAAATGACTTGCGACTTCAAATCCCATTCTTGCTAGCGGCCGGCTTGAACGAGCTCTTTCCCTGCCAGGCACTCCGTCAACCGTAAAGCACAGTCATAAACATATTTCATGCTTGTTATGTATGATTATAGAATTTCGTGAGTTCAGAATTTCGGCTGCAATCGTCCGTCTTTGAAATACTCCTCCGGAAACAACGTAGGAATAAAGTTCCTAGGGTTTTCTGACCTTACCGGTACAATTCATTTAGAGACATGATCAGAAATATATTAATACGGTTATATGCATAAAGCGAAGGTAACCAAAGGGTAGTGGTAAATGTGCAACGAGACAATACATTTACAAATATGACTGATGGGCAGTTCGACTCTTTTCCACGAATCGGTTCTTTTGAACAGTTTATTTTAGTGAACCGGTTAAAATGATTCAATGACTATTTCGCGCTATCGCATGGTCACCGACTTTCCAAATTCCCACAGAACATTGCACGCTCCATTAAAGCTTCACAGTAGGCACAAAGCACCGTTTATTACGCAAATAAAGCGTTACATTTAGTTCCACGCGTTTTAAGTTTGTTGCAATCTTCAGTTAGCTCTTAAATATTTATTTAGAACCTAAATAAACTTTGTATTAAAAAAATTAGCGGAATAAAAACGTTTTTGCGGGGTTAAATAACATTTGCAGAACAGTTTAGACCAGCTAGGTGAAACGGTTCAACCGATTCACTGAAAAGATTCGACCCAAAGAAAGATTTGATTCACGAATCGGTCGCTGCTAGCTATAACACGCATAGGTAGTCTAGTAAAATAAATATCTTACCTACAATTACATGTTTTTTTTTTTTAAGTTCTGAATAGTTTAAACTATATCTTTATGTCTAGTAACTATATCCTCCTGAGAACCAGAAAAAAAAAGTTTGTGACTTTTTATTTTTTATTTAATTAAATATAGATTAGAGCAGGGGTGCCCAAACTGGGTCCTGGAGGGCCGGTGTCCTGCAGAGTTAAGCTCCAACCCCAATTAAACACACCTGAAGCAGCTAATCAAGCTCTTATAGGCATACTAGAAACTTGAAGGCAGGTGTGTTGAGGCAAGCTGGAGCTAAACTCTGCAGGACACCGGCCCTCCAGGACCCAGTTTGGGCACCCCTGGATTAGAGCATAAGAAACAAATGGAGAAAAAAATAAAATATTCTAAAAAATATATTTTATTCTATATCCTTTGTAGAGGACGCCAAGACCAAGTTATTCGAAAACTAAATAGACATGATAGACATTTTTTCATTCACCAATCAGTTTTTAGGTTTCAGGCTATTTTTAGCCAAACTTTGTACAAAGATGATTCTCAACTAAGTTATGAAAGATATAACAGAATGATTTGATATACTATTTTACTCTATGCAATATGTGCATAAAATATCCATAAATTGGTATTCCCATTCTATACAATGTATATAGGCTACAATGCATCTAATTTGCATAATAATGTGTTCTTGGGGCAAACCATGATGAAAAAAGTAGTGTAATAACGGGAGTAATAAATTGGCAGCATTTTCATAAGAATATCTCATATATCATAGGAATATTGATCTATAATTTCTTTCACATCGACTTGTGATTCCCCAAAATGCTTGAGTAACATGATGTTTGTCCTGGTGTCCTCTACAGAAGACATTGATGAAAATTATACCGTTTCGTAATAAAACGTCATATTCCCGATCTGAAACCCCATAACATTTTTCTGAGATGTTTATTTACAACAAACAATTTGTATTAAATTAGCCAGATTTAAATGATAATTACAAAACATTATCATATTTCCATACACTCTAAAAAATGCTGGGTTAAACACGACCCAGTGCTGGGTAAAATAGGGACAAACCCAGCAATTGGGTTGTTTTGACCCAGCATTGATCTATAATTTCTTTCACATTGACTTGTGATTCCCCAAAATGCTTGAGTAACATGATGTTTGTCCTGGTGTCCTCTACAGAAGACATTGATGAAAATTATACCGTTTCGTAATAAAACGTCATATTCCCGATCTGAAACCCCATAACATTTTTCTGAGATGTTTATTTACGACAAACAATTT